AAACCTCGAGAGAGAATGTAGTTATTAATGGTAGTTAAGATAGATCGGTCCTTGACCAATGCGCGTATATCAATGCGTCATGTAGTGTTGTGCCAAAAACGTGCATATAAACTTGTTCTTCCGTCGTCTGACATCTTTCTGATGTCATTAATTTTGACTACATAAGGTGCGTAAATCGACATTAAATAATCTGAAGTTTCATTTACCATGGCTTGGCCAAAACATCCTCTGTAAATACTCTTATTCATTGAATTGCTTTGTACATTATCTGTTTAAAGCTAGCCCTTTTCAAGCCTCAAAAGCTCTTTACAGATCTATTCTGTATACAATGAAAAACTTCATCATTATTCTTCTCCTAGCTGTCGTATTTGCTTTGAGCTCAGCTAGGAACCAAAGAGGTATGTAATCATACATTTTTGAACTTCTAATTAGGTTAAGTGTAGTGAGTATAATTTTAATGCCTAGAAGAAGTTTTTTCAGTTGTTTACGCATGTACTACAAAATACTATAAAAATTTGAAGCTTCATTGGGCAGTGTGACTTACCAAAAACGTCAACTCGTACTTTCACTGCATTATTCAAGGCATTATCACCAGCCTAACTCTACTCAAATCAATTTCATGCTCCTTTGTTATATGCCTTTTTTTCAGATAAGCGCTCGTCGGGATCCCACGAGGGTTGGAGACGACGAGGTGGGTACGGTGGTGGTTATGGTGGCGGTTATGGTGGTGATTACGGTGGTGGCTATGGAAACGGTTGGGGTGGCAATCAAGGATTTGGTAATGGATTTGGCAATCAAGGATTTGGTGGTTATTCTCCATATCAACAACAAGGTGGATGGGGTACGCATACAATATCACTTTCTAAGATTCTTTGCCATTTGAATTTTGACACTTTTTGCTGAAGTATTTTTCTTTTAGGTTGGGGCAAGTAGTGAGGCAGTGTCCAGTTTCCCGAAGAACAATTTGATGTGTAAATATTTTAACAACTTTCTCATGTGAGGCTTAATGAATAAATTATTGATTTATGTGTATGGATGTACTGCACAATATTCAACAATTAAGACAGTAAATAAGAATGATAGAGCGCGAAAACGCGACTATTGAGGAGGAAAATACCATGGAACTTCCTTGTGTCAGCGCGAATCTTTAAATTCAAAAATTTTCTTAAAAAATGGAAAGTTTCGGCAGAATGTTACCCAACATTTGAAAGAATAATACTCTTCATAAGATTGTATACTTGTATTATCCAGAGAATCTCATTGCGTCAAATTAGATGTATTTGAACTCAAAAGGAAAATACGCTCAACTACAACTTTTTTTGAAGCATGATGCTTATTGCTATAATGGCC